CTGCTTGCTTTACAAGGCCCTACCCGCAGGGTGTTGCTGCACCCATAGTGCGACCTCTGCACACTGTTGGCCGGGTGTGAGGGCTGGTGTTGGGCACTGGCTCTTGTGGGGGCTGCCGCGCGATAGCAACACCGTTGCTCACTCCGCAAGCGCCTCGGGGCTACTCCTTGATGGCCAACGCGTCCAGGTGCAGGACGCATGACAGCAGGACTCATGGGCTAACGTGCCTGCTGGGGGACTTGCCGTCAAAAGACGGGGAGCCAAAACACCGTCAAGGGGGAGGCTTCCGCTTGAGCAGGGTATCTTGGCAGTGTCTGATTGGGCATTTAGCGCTTGCGAAACCAAATATCACGGAGTACGGTGAAAGGGCGGTGTCTGTTGACATATGATATATACAGACATGTAGCTCCCGCTCTTTTGACACGTCTGTGCAATTGCATGGCGAGGTTTTCAGTTGCATCTTTGCAACGAGTCTTGCATACTCATGCGCGGTTAACAGTGCGACCTTAGAGTGATAGAAGCCCAGGAAGTTCCATTGTAGAGGATTTGGGTTGATCTGGATGGTCCAAGCTTGACTCGTAACCTTAATTGTGATTTTTAATTTTGGGGGCGGACAGTCGGGCATGAAGTCATGATTTGGGGTGCAATTGGTGCGGGGGGATACGTCTTACGGGCATGATACCGCCTAACTGTTAAGGGCACTGACTTTTGTAGAGCTCCACTATCAGAAGGACCTTGGATTTGAACGGCTACGTGATGTTGGCAACTTCCCACATGGCCTGAACAGCAGCGCGCGCATGCTCGGCTCTGATACCTGTCAGGGGTCCTACATGGATGATCAAGGGTACTTCGTAATTAAGTAGGTTGATATTCAGGATAGCTGGGGTTATTCTATGGCCTACAGGGGTTACAAGTACACTTACTAAGTCCCCTTGACTCTCCAAGTAGATCAAGCGAAACCTGAGAGCGATCCAGAAGGTTCGGCAAGCAAAAACCAGTCAAGACCGACTTGACCCTTGCATGAACCCTCTGACTCTAGTCCCATGAGTTTTTTGGAAGGAACCTTAAGCTCAGTGGTAGAATCTAGCGGAACAACCCTTAAACCTCAGAGAAACCTGCTTTGTTTTGGCTCCTCAATTCGGGGTCCAAGGCCCCAGATACCTCATCTGCAGACCGCAGGAAGCAAATTTTGTTCCCTAGCTTGCAACGGGGGCCAAGTTCAAAACCAAGGGAAGCAACGAGGACCTTGCGTAAACTCAAACGCATGCAAGCGTGCAGCTACACAAAAGAGCACAGGGTCCCTTCGCGAGATTGTGCGAGGCCGATGGTAATCAAAGAAAGTACTCCCGATGATTGTATGAGCCATAATCTAAACTCCTTAAAGGGGGTTATATATAGGGGATTATATAAGGGACGACTCTAGGTTTTATTAAGGGGGATACTAGGAGTTCAGACTATAGCTAATATAGCATCAGCAAGCGTCATGGTTATTCTTATCCGTCGTCAAAACAGCTTTAGAAACAGCGGAGAAACACCTGGCAGCAGCAGAACAACCGCAGCAGTCATCATGATACGTTTCGGCAGACTTGCGCAGCGAGAGTAAGCTCTTGTCCTTATATACCCTCTTGGTGATTGCCATACATCCCACTATACTACAGTAGTTTCCATTTTCTTGTCCTATATCCCTATATCACCCCAGTATAACCGTAATATTAATCCCAACGGGTACTTGTATCCCCAGTGTCCACATCCCAGTCTACTCCTTCTCCCATGCCCAAGGAATCGCGAGATGAACCAACTTCAGAGCCAGGCAGGACAGCGGACATCCACGTGGTTTAAGGGCTTAGGGCGTAGGGCTTAAGATGGTCTGTATATTGGGGTTACATAGGGTATTATCCCCATATAATGGAGAATCAAATGGAAAAGAGCATGGAAAGTAAACTGGTGTAATATTGGGATTATATTGGGGTTATATAGGGCTTATGTTGGAATACTGGAAAACAAGATGGAAACTACTATTAAGAGTTTAGGGTCTAAGGTTCAGGGTTATGCGGTTAAGGGTTTAGTGGGTCAGCGTTGTGGATACGTTTTGTGGTAAGTAGACTGAACGGCAAGAAAAAGGAGTAAGCCCTAGAAACCCTTCGCCCTATGATGCACGACTCTCGTTCCTAATCACTCCCCAGGAAAGAGTCAGTCTGAGGGTTGGGGTTTTGGGGTCTGGGGTTTCGGGTTTGAGGTCTCTGAGCGTCGAGTTGAGGGGTTGGGTTTTAAAAATTTAGGGTCGCAGTTCGAGTGTTTGGTGTGTTTGGTCTGGGGCCCTGGGGGGTCTACGTGTTAAACCCCAAAACCCTAAAGTTGAAGGTTTGGCCTTGTAGTCCCCCTTAAGTAGATAGAATATGGCTTTGGGAACATTATACTAAGATCCCCATATAGCCCATATTCTATCTACTGAAGCCGGACTATAAGTGGTTCGGGTTCCTTGGCTCCTGTGGTCTTTCGAGGCGGGCTGAATACCCAAGTTATGAACAGCGAAGTTCTGAAGCTTCTGGGGGGTACAGCAGGATTATGGGGGATTGTGGAGGCAAATGCAGAATTGTGGAGCATTATTGCAGGTGCGAAGATTTTTCTGTATGTGGAAGGAGATACGAGCCCCCCAAGGCTTAAAGAGCTCAATGGGCCCTGAAACGTAACATGACATGTTACGAATTTCCTTGGCAATCAGACGAACATACTGTGTCACTATATGTAGCAATGACTCAGAACGATAGGGACGGGATTCTCTGATCGCTTCGTAGCATGCACTACATGGCATTTCAAACGCTTTTTGCCAAGAAGAAGCTTTCCATCCTCAAAGTCCAAAACTTACTTCTCATGGCATAGGGCTTCATCCTCGCCCCGTGCTTATAGATTTCTGGCCAGACCCAGTCAATGTTATGCCAAAAGAAGTTCTGCTCTTCAATGGCAATCTTGGATAACTCCGAAAACTGGAGTCCTCCCATGGACCCTCAAAATTGGTGTCCTCATTCTGCGGGGTCAAGAAAGAATCCATAGTTCTGAGAAACTCCCAGGTGGAGACTCTTCAACAGCAGGCACCTGCACCAAGGGCTTTCATTTTCAGAAAGTGGCTGGGGCAGCAAGGAAGGTGGTCAAGTAGTTTCTCTTATGCAATATGACTGTCACAAGCATTTCGATGAGTCTAGTGTATACGCCAGCACAGGATGTTTTGCGCGCAGGCTTATCCCTTTGATCCATCTTCGTCGCTGACAATTTCTATTTCTTTGTCAAACTTTTAAGCCATCTCTGTTACTATCAAGAATGACGTTCAACAACGCAGGTGGGGTGCACATGATGACAGTCGTAGTGGGCTGCGGCGGCGGTGGTGGCGGCGACCGCGACACCAACTGTAATGATGGTAGTGATGTAAGCTGTTGTGATTTGCTAGTGGCGGTGAAGATGATGGCAGTAGTATGTATGTTGACTATATGGTCGTAGTTCTTGATAATGGCGATAATGATGATGGTCGTGGTGATGATGTTGGTGATGACAATGAATGAAGGCCGTTGTGATGGTGGTTTTTGTCATCGTTTCTGTTTTGACTGGGCTAGTAAGCATCCTCCTTCCGTGGACCTCTGCGAACTTGTGCGTAGGCTGGAGGTTGCAGTTTCAAAGTTCAGGGCAAGATCCGCAGCATTTCACGTGCTTGGAGGAAGACACCCGGAGCCATCAGCACATGAAAATCCAAGCTCCGCCTGAAACCCCCTAGGGCCCGTTGGCAGAGAAGTCAATTGAAGGCCCGCGCAGCCATCGAACGTGAACGGGCTCTCAAAGAGCAGGTGCTCGGGGGGCGGTGGCTTTCAAAATGCTGAGTATAGGTCCTCAGAGATTGTTTTGAAGATTCTGAAGAGCAGTTGCAAGCAATTGTGCCTTGCTAAATTCCAGGGAGTAATAGGTGTGATTTATGAAGCGTGTCCAGCAACGTCTAAAAAGACAGCAAAAGTTGTCGGTAATGATCAGAGCTTTCATGCTGAGAGCTCCGCATGCGGCCTTCTCAACATTATGGCTTCCATCACAATTCCTATGGGTTATAATGAGGATAATGGAAAAGAACATGGAAACTACTATATAGGGGGTTTATATTGGGGATAATGGAATGCTGCACGCTGTAGGGTGACATCTTGCAAGACTCCTACATTGCTGACGCTGCCAGGTGTTGTTGGCAGAGGAGGCCGTCAGGAAGGAGCTGCATTCGCGCAACGAGGCAGAAGCTGCCAAAAAAGTGGCAGCAGCGGAGTTTCCAGCTTTCATATTGGGGATTCTCAGGCATGTTTGCTTTGAAACAAAGCCCTCTAAATCTAGGTTCCACAAGACAAACTAGAAGGTGTGGCTTTCGATGCTGTAAGTGTCAGTCTGGTGGAATACCTTTCTGGCCAATGCAATCCCGTCAGCTCTCCTCTCACTTTCAACGCCGTGAAGCTTGCTTTCATATATTGGATATTGCCCCCACTCATGACCAGCTGGAAAGCATATGTAGTCTCACTTAAATACAGCACCACTACCCCATTGTAGACTGTTGCTGGGTGGGGGCAGTACCCCAGTTTGTAGGAATATCACCTTTTCAGTCAAAGTACTGCTCTTACTGGTGTTCTTGTGTCTTTTTCGCTTTTTCTTGCTTATTTCGCCACTGCCAATGACGATGTAGCCGCTCAACAACTATAATGTGGCAGTTTCCATTGTATTTTCCATTATTGCAATATAGGGATTATATTGGGATAATGGAGAAGAAAATGGAAACTACTATAGCATATTCTCCTATCAGTTCAAGAGCACTTAAGATATGAGAGTCAGGAGTTCAGCCATCTTGAACTGATCCAGCTTGATGAATTGCGTCCTCTTGTGCTAGACAACATCTTCTTAGGAGCATGTGGGCCACTCATTCGGGTTGCGGGGGCCTAGTGGTGCAACTTGGAAGTTTCCCGGAATAAGGGGACACCAATATAGACCGTAACAAACTACAATCCTTATCATAGGACCCTCACAGAAGGCTTCCCTACTATTGGGACAACCCCATTTCAAGTTGGGTTGGAAGGCTCTTCGCGGGAGGGCTCTCTAAGGACATGCCCCCACCGCGGCTACCGTCGGCTATCGTAAGAGAAAGGAACCTTCACGTAAATGCACCTTCCCAAGCCTCTCAAACCGTGGATGTTGAGGCTAGTCGTCAATCAGAGCAACGAATTCAAGAGCTTCAAGCACAAGTGCTGGGCCTGGCTGAATGTGCAAGGGTCTGGAGTGTTCATTACGTCTCCGTAAATGAGCAGCAAAGATGTGCATACATAATCAGGCTTGCCATCAGAGATGCCACGATGTCAGGAGCGGCGATTGCGACCGCTCAATATCCCAACGTCAAAGCCCACCGCGCAAGCAGCACTCTCTACTGTCGCTAGAGTATAGAACATACGACTTAAAGATCATGTGAGCTATAGTCCAAACTCCTAGTATCCGGCTTACCTATAATACTCCCCTCTGTAATCCCCTATATAACCCCTGTAAGGAGTTTAGACTACAGCTTATGTAAGGTTAGTCAGTATACTTGTGCCAGATCCTGAGGTTGCTGAGCTTCGCACTGAAGTTCTACAGCTGCAGGACCTTGCCTGGGTTGATTTGAGTTACCATAATAGGTATATGGTACTTAGTAGGGTTTCCTTATTCTAATAACTTAAAGTTCCTTGACAGCAACCCAGTTTCTGAGCAGAGAGCCTTCGGCCAGGGGTGTGAGAAAGCGCTGCGTGATCCCAAGTCCTGCAATGGGTTTTAACTGATGCTAAATGTAAGGGTCTTGGGCATAGGGCGGTTGAAAAACGGAGTCAAGTCTTGAGAGCTGTGCAGTGAGAATCAAGAACTGACGAAGCAAACCTTGGCCTCCTCGATCTGATTCATAAACTAAGCTCCTAAAAGGGGGTTATATAGGGGATCACTATGTTGGGGAGTACTATATATGAGCTACAGTCTAAACTCCTCACAGGGGGATTGTGTAGGAGAGCGCTAGAGGGGTTATAAGTCAGTTGATTCTCGCATTGTTCAGTTGGAGTCCCTTCTTTCTTAGGGTCCCTGACTTGTGCATCCATCCTTTTTCAAAATGCCAGAATGTCGACAGCATCATATTGCTGAGCTAAGACATAACCCTAAACCCTAAAGCCATTGTTCCATAAGTTTCTAGCCGAAGTGGGAGGCACATACCTTGGCACTCGAACCCGAACACTTAGCCCAGAATCAAAACCCTAGCCCCCACATCCTATAGTCCCCCTTAAGTAGGTAGAATATGGGGTATATGGGGATCTTATTATAGTATACCCAAAGCCATTAAAGGGGGACTATAAACCCGCCAAACTCAAAATCTTAAAAACCGAAAGCTTCAACTTCAGCCCAAGCCCCCAGCCGTAAATCCTGCGAAGTAGAACGCCAAACCTTAACTTCCAACCCTGGGTTCAGGGTTTAGGGTTTAGAGCCTTGGGAGTATATCTGGGGTTAATATAAGCCTTTAGAGTTTAGGATTTGGGCATCAGGAAATGTAAGCATTAATGTTGCACCCTCTTTAATCTAGGGGCCCCCCCCCCCCTCCCTAACAATAGAGGCCTCCGAAAAACAAAAATAGGACGTCCTCAATAAGGCTCCCACAGTACTGAGGGCCCCGGGAGGCCTTGGGGATTACTTTAAAAGGGATGGTCTGGATTCGGTCCCGTATTTTTAGGGCCCGAAAACCAAAACACATTAAAGAGGGTCACCCAAATATTGGCCATGTCCTGAATAAGCGGCGGCGAAAACACTTTAAAGAGGGTCCCAATATTAAACCCAGTGCAACATTAGCTGGTTCTACTACGTTGGGCATGA